CTAGGAGAACAACACGGACGGGTTCCTCCAAGGAATGAATCTGGAAAGAACAGATTTCTTAAGACTCACATGAGAAGGGCTGTGGAAGATAGGGGTAGGCAGTCAACTGGGGATCATGTTACCCATCATCCCTGTACCTCAAGGCAGAGCCACATCATACCCAGCACAATGAGGATGAGCTGCTGGTGCTTTGTAGGTGTATGTGATGGATCAATGAGGCTCTCCTGTAATGAGCTCGGTGATTCCTCACTTCCTAGCCTTGACAAGGTCTCCACACCTTCAGGAGCTAACCAGAAGTCCTTTCTCATTAGTTCTTCAGTCTAGGAAAGGGTATGCCAAAAAGTTTGATAGCTTAACAGAAACTGTCAAATTCCTAGAAATGAATAAATAGAGAACCAAATAGACCAATCATCAATCACAAAACTGAGTCTCCCAGGACCATACAGCCTCATTACTGAGTTTTACTGAATACTTAAGGAACTAATACCAAAACTTCATTATTCAAAAAGATAAAAAAAAAAAGCTTAGACCTATGTGAGTCCTGTGCAGAAAAAAAAAATGGTGTGGATTTGAGTGGGTAAGGAGGTGGGAAGAATTGGGAAGAGTTGGAGGAGAATTAAATGATGATCAGAACACATTGTATGAAAAAGAAATCTATTTTCAATTTTAAAAGGGATCCGAAAGGAAGGAAGTTATGGGCAGTTTGGATGAAAATGCTCCCATAGGCTCTTAAGTTTGAATACTTGGTCCCCAGCTGGTGGGACTGTTTGGGAAGGACTGGGCAGTATGACTGTGGTGGAGGAGGTGTGTCCCTGGGGCAGCATTTTGATGTCTCAAAAGACTTGTCCCCATCCCAGTGAGAAACTTACACACACTGTTCACATGTACACATATACTGAAAAACTGTCTGAATGGATGGACAGATATAGCATCTTCAAGGAGTTTTCAAGCCTGGTTGACACTAGTACAAAGGGAACTCACTAGTCAATTTCAAAATAAAGCATTTGCATGGAACTGATGGAAAGGATTTCTTAATGGCTTTTCTTAATTGCCTAACAGAGTCAATGATACACCATTGCCATTTGGAAATAAATATCATCCCATGGCATCATTTCCAGGTACGGCATCTGTTCAAAGTTCCCAAATCAAATGAAGTTGAACCCAAATATTCAAATGGGCAAATTACAAAGATCTTTTGGTTTCAAAACAGGATCTCACTCTATAGCCCAGTTTGGCTTAGAATTCACTATGTAACCCAGGTTACCCTCTAACTCAAGGCAGTCCTTCTGCCTCAGCCACTCAAGTGTTAAGACTACAGGCAAGATCCACTGCTCCTAAGACATTTCAAAATTGTGTATGCATACATGTGAGAGAGGGAGGGTGGGGTTCCTGTAACCTAGCTTAGCCTACAGCTGGCTGTGTAGCTGAAGATGACCTTGCATTGCGGATCCTCCTGCCTCTGCTCCCAAGTGCTGAAATAACAGGGCTTTGCACCACACCCAGTTTATGTGGTACCTAAGAACAAACCCAGGACCTTGTGAATGTCAGTCAAGCATCCTACCAACTGAGCTGTATCCCCAGCCCATAAACACTTTTAAAAGCAATTATAACTCTTAAATATTGCTTAGAGTTGATGAGGTAAAATGATTTTTGTACAGAAGTAAATGCTTAAATATTACTTATTTAATATTTTTCCTTTCAAATGCTATTATTGCATTTATAAAATAATCATAATTCAAAGATATAATTTATAAATTATTAAGTACACATATGTAAAAAATAATCTTACTGGAAGTTGAAAACTGAGTTAGTAAACTTTTGTTTGTTTTTGGCATCACTGGAGATTGAACCCAAGGCCTGGCCCACACCAAGCAAGTGCTGTATCACTGAACTAATCCACCCTTTTAAATTTTGAAACAAAGTATCACAAATTTACTGTAGCTAGCTTTGAACTCACCCATTATGTCTTGAACTTGTGGTCTTAATTCAGCCTCCTGAGTAATTAGATCACAGGCCTGCACCCCAAAATGTAGCTAGAAAATTACTTCAAGGGCCAGAGAGAGGGCTTCATGGCTAAAGGCACCTACTGTCAAGCCTGATGACCTTAGTTCAATTCCCAGGACCCACATTATGGAAGGAGAGAACTGATTCTGGAGAACTGTTCTCTGATCTCCATACATGTATGACGTATGATGGCCTAGGAGCACATACATACAGACAGACACACACATACACACAAGAGCAAATGTAACAAACATTTTTTTTAAAAGAAAAATACTTCAAGTAGACAGCTATGGAATTCACTATACTTGTCTATCACAGAATTAACTTATTAAGTAACTATGTATCCATAGCAAACAGATTCATGAAAGCGTGTTTGCTTTACTAATTACTAGTGAAATGCATATTGAAACCACAGTGAAATACCAGTTCACACCACTCATAGAGGCTACCACCAAAAAGAAAGACGGTAAGTGTTGGCAAAATGTGGAGGAAGGAAGTCCTGTACATCATGGACGGTGGTCCAAACTGCAAAGGGCATGCTGGGAATTTGAATAGAGCTCCTTCAAAGAGGAAAACCAGAATCATACAAATGAATATTTCTTAGATGGTTACAGGTCCTGCACTCACTGCACCATGATCTGCTGTGGCCAAGCTGCGGCAGCACACTGAGCATCCATCCACAGATGAATGGGGAGCAGATGTGAGGTATCTGTACAGAAGGATACTATGCAGGCTTTAAAAAGAGGAAAACGTGTCATTTGCAACACCGTGGAAAAGGCTGGGAAAGATTAAGCTAAGTGAGAACAGTCAGCACAGAGAGGCAGAGCCACTATTACTCCTTTGTCAGTGAAATCTATTGGAGAGAAATAACCAAACTTATAAAGTCAGAAGGTAGAACATGCTGGCCTCAGATGGGAGGAATGGGGTGCTGAGATCTATTTGAGAATTGCTAAGCATCATCAGTTATAGGGAATTAATCTCTGCATTTCAACATGACTGAAAGCGTCAACTATCCTCACCACAAAAGAGGAAACGAGGTGACAGATGTTAATTAACTTAATTTAATCATTCCATATAGAACTAATCTATCACAACACTGCACATCATTAATGCATATAACGATAAATTGTCAACTTACTATAAAAAATTTTAATTTAGTGGGTTGAATGAATGAATAAAACCTCTCACACTGGGTTGCCTCACCAATCTTAACACAAGAGGAGGAGCTTAGTCCTACCTCACCTTGATACACCATGCTCTGTTGACACCCATGAAAGGCCAGCCCCTTTCTGAACAGAAACAGAGGAAGAGCGGATTAGGAGAGGGGTCAGGGGTGGGGGAAAAGGAAATGGGAAGAGAGGAGGGGGAAAATTGTAGTTGGGATGTAAAATAAATGAATAAAATTTAATAAAAAAGAAATAGCAATTGGAGAAAAAAATCAAAAAAGAAAAAATAAAAAAAAATTAAAAAAAAAAACCTTCTCCCCCAGGATGCAAGGCTGAAGAACTGGCAAGCTGGCTAAGGACACCAGTTTATGGATGTTTCTCTCCAGGCATGCAGAGACATTTGAGCAGTATTCCGTGTCTATGATTCAATTAAAAAGATGCCCGAACAATCAGTTCACAAGCATCTGTGTCAGTGTTTATGAACAGCTAACAGAGAACCTCCTTAATTAGTTCCCAGTTCAACGAAGAATCACTGAGATTCTCACAGATTAAGAAAATGAATTTTAAAAAAAAAGTTAGAAGGGGTCTATGCTTTCTATTGTCACAAACAAACAAAAACCCTCACGTTCAGTATTAAAAGCTGAGGAGATAATGCAGTCAGCAAGTACTTACTGCAAGGCTGAGTAAGGATCCCAATTCATATCCCCAGTGCCCTCAGAAAAGGCCAGGTCAGGCTGCGTGCCCCTGTAATTCTAGCAGAGGCAAGAGGATGGCTCAGACATTCTGGCCAACTATTCTGGCTGGATCAGTGAACTCCAGCTTCAGTGAAAACTTGCACAAATAACAAAGTGGACAGCAATTACGGAAGACATTTGACAGGTACCTGTGTGTGCACACACGCACACACACAGGAGGGTGAAGAGAGAGACTGTTTATCTTCAAACTGCCCCTTAAAGGCCAGTGTAGACTGATACCCCAAAAAATTGGGGTCATTTTATTGTAACTTTGATCCTTTCTATGTGGCCAACTCTGACCACATACTTGTCTGCCTCTGGCTACTTTCAGGCTGAAGTGCAAAGCTTCAGACGAGAATCCTATAAAATACTAATCTATACCAAACTGGCCTCTCTCTTCCCATCAAATCTCTTTCATTCCCTGTCCTTTTTTTTTTTTCTTTCTTTCTTTCTAAGTAGGCAGAAAGAATAATGGTGCTGATTGTTCAAGTGGTTCTGGGATCTGGAAAGAGTTACACAGGAAAATAATGTGGATGACTTACAACAGTGATTCCAATATGGATTAACAATGACAGCAGTGAACTCAGAAACTAAAAATAGATAAATGAATAAAAAAATTAAGATTACATTTTTTTTACAAATCACCAAAAGAGAGCCCTCCAAAAGTGTTACTCACTGCAAGGATGGGGGAAAGGTGACTGGCTTCTCAGGTTGTCTCTTTGGGTCACACGTTCCAGGGTCCTGACTGATGGCTTCACAGAGAATGCCTGTGGCAGAAACCCAGATGCCAAGCAAGCATCAAGAGACATTATTCATGTAACACACGCAACAGGAAGGGCAATAGGCCCTGGAGAACAAATCCACCAACCATGTGCATGTTATCCTATGAGAATTGCCCAACAGACACCCTGAGGACAGCTTTTACCAGCTTCTGGAACAGACCAGTTTGTAAGAGCAACAAAACTACAGCAAGCTTCTTCCTCTAAAGACACTGTCTGAAGGGGGTGTTCGGAGGAGGGGGGACAGGACAGGACTAAGAGATAAGAGTGATTCATTAGATAAGAAATAAAACACATAGGCCCAGAGAAGTCATCTGCAAATCTTTATTGAAAATGTTGCCTATGAATAGAATAACTTGAAAGGAAATCTGCATGGACGCCTGCAGCCAAGGCGTGGGGTCTCAAGATAAGAAGGGGAAAGACACCAATTCAACCCTAGCAAAAGCTCACACTGCTTCCCTTGCTGTTTCATTTTCCCAGTGTTAACTCCTCCGTGGATGCCACTCCTGTGTCTTCTCAAACCCTCAGTTAGCTGGAAAATCTTGAATAGTGTTTTATGTACAACAGGCCCTCAATTAAATAGGCTGGGGCGTCCCCCCCCCCGCTTCCTGTTCACGGTAACTACCAACGCGAGTGTAAACTTATCTTCTACATGCTAACATTTACCTAAATATTAAAGTGTAATACGAATATTTCAGGATAAGCATACCAGGATTTTAGGTAGATATTGAGAAATCTGAATCAAAATAAACACAAAGCATGAAAAAAAATGGCAGGTGTCTTCCTCGGAATTTCCCTTGAAAATGGAAACAAAAAAGGGAGTGGAGTATCAAAAAAAAAATGTCATTTTCCAGAAACGTCTGTTGCTTCTACGTGGAATCTACAGACTAAGGTGTGCCCATGGAATGATGGTACCGTTAGCAAACAGCCTGCCAGTTCCCAAAGACACATCCTCCTCAGGAGCAGAGTGCCCCAGAAACAGCAAAAACACTCCATAACAAATGCTTGGCTTCTCCAGCAAAAAATAAAATAAAAACTGAAATGAAACCTAATGGACCTGTGTACCAGGACTGTAGAAGCCCGAGAAGGGTGGTCCTTGGACGAAGCACCCTTGGTGCTGCTTCATGGTGGCTGATGGATGATTCCTGACATGAAAAAAAAAACCCACATGGAAGGACTAAATGGGACCTCTCCTCACTGTTGAGCATCAGGGTCTTTTCCTGTTGCTCTGGCAATGCCTCGACAAAGGCAATTTAAGGGCTGGTGTCCTGTTAGGGCAGAAACAGGCCCATCATTATCCAGCTGGCCACCCCAGCTCTGCTCACAGTTACTGTGGAGAAGATCAGCTGAACCACGTTAAAGTGATTTTTTTTCAATGTTGGTTGCAGGTAGTTGGATCACTTCTCAGCCTCCCCTTCCTCGCGCCCTTCTAACCACAGACACACCACATGAATGTGTCCCACTCCTCCTCAGCCCTGTCTCTCATTGCTCACTGACTATCCTACCCACCCTGAGAGTCCTGTCCCACCCCCTCCAACCAACCCAGAGACATCTGCTTAGATTAGCCAAGGCTGAGAAGAGCAATACAAAACTGTGTCATGGGAACATGTCTTGTCCATGCCTGACTCAACAGGGAGGTGCTGGTGGCTTCAGTCTCCCTGTGGGATCTCATGCATTTCAGAATGGCAGACAGGCTAAGCTGTCTTAAGGAAGATCTATAATGCTACTGCTACCAGAAAACAGGAGGCACTTCTCTAATGATGGGACATCAAGGGGAAACTTTGAGCTGCAGACTTGGTGACATTCAGTATAAGATTCTGCTCAGAACACCACTATAATTTACCCCTCCAGAGAAAGAAAACTGGAGGAAGAAATAAGGAGGGAGGTGGACTGGGGAGGGGGCAAGGGAAACAAGAAGGGAAGAGAGGAGGAAAGAAGGAACACAACTCGGCTTTAGGCAGAAGGGATACCTAGGGAAGAGCCACTTCAAACAGGTGGCTAGGCTCCTTCTGAACTCATCTGAAATCTCAGTTTCCAGGGAGAGGGCTGTGAGCCCCAGGGCAGCCCTAAAAGCCCTCCACAGAGAGGGTGTGGTTGAGCTCATAGGTGTTGCTTTGCTCTTCCTCCAGAAGCAGCTTGTCAATGGTCAGGGAGCTGATGGCCCTTCTGGGGTCATCCATGTCCTGAAGGACTGGCTCTGAGATAGAGATGGGAAGCTGAACAAACTGGGGCCCAGGCAGGGCTGGGGCTGGAGGTTGGTACTGCAGACTGGAGGCAGGCAACGTGGAAAGGGGCTGAGGCCACGGGAAATAGGTGAGGGGTGCCTGGTGCTCCGGACCCTCCAGCTGGGGCCCCACGGCAGGTGTAGCAGTGCTTCTTGGCTGTGATGGGGAAACACAGGAAGGAGCAGGGATTAGCAACTCTGGGGTGCACACCTGCATTCTTGCCCCAGCGTGACCTCCCATTGTACCCCGCCTTCCCGGTACTGATGTTTCATTGTTTTCTCCCGCTCAGTCTCCTAGAAGGGAGAATCTGACGAGTTTCAACCTTGTCCCTCCCTCTTCTAACTGTATGCTCAAGCAACTTCCCAATTTGGAAGCTTCACTTTTCTATGAAAGGGGTTACAAAAAATAATGAGGTATTGCCACTCAATAAATTAGAGATTTTAGAGGTTTCATCCACAGCTGAGAAAAGAAGATGGATAAGGAAATTCTTCGCATGGACAGATGCAAGACAGATGACCTAAACCTCCCCTTTCTATCCTCACTCTTCTCCCCGCCCCGCCCCCCTCATCACCTCCCCCCCCCCCCCCCCCCCCCCGCCACTGCATCTTAAGAGCAAACTGCAAAAAACACTTGGGGAAGAGAAGACTTTCCCTCAGCTTCCTGAGGGGTTTGTCACAACATGGATTCTTGATCCCAGAGGTCTGGAGTAGCGCCTGGGATCCTCCCAGCCCACTCAGAGGATGCTAACGTGGCTGGTGTAAGGACTGCGGTTTGAGTAGCAAAGCTTCAGGAAGTTTCATTATTGAACAATGACCCGTGACCCCCAACACGTGAGCTGGCGTGTATATCTCGTGCATGCAGAGTTTTTTCTCTCTCAATGTGAGCACATGCTCCCTAACTCAGCTTCTTGAAGCCAGGTAGGACCTGGGAAACCCTTACTACTTCCATTATTTCAAATATCCAAATGAAAATCCTTCCCTTTCGACTCTACCTATACAGGTCAACTGTAACTGCCTTTTCCTTGCCAGGGGATAGAATTTCTCTGTGGCTCTTATCTCTGCTGACCAGGGATGCTGAGTCGTAGCTCAAGCCAGCTTTGATGAGCTAATTTACAAAATGACCAAACAATGATTTCTTAATAAATACAGCTTGTTTGATACACAGAACCTCTCAAAGTGGAAGACAGAGATGATGAAAGAGGATAACTAATGAAAAGAATCCTCAGGACTGAGGCGGCTTGGAATCACTCTCCCACTTCAGGCCCATTGCTATGGAAATGAGCTGCCTGGGGAAGGTGTTGAATTAACTCTTTCCTATTCACTCTCATCAAGCTCCACCCCCAGATCAGTTCGTGGGATAGCCAGGTGGGCGTGGCGTAAAAGGACTCCCACAAACCTTGCCAGGAAAGCACTCTGAAACAGAGATCAGGGACCCTAGAATGACACTGGACCCTGGAGGCAAACAGAAGGGCCATGGGGAGCTAAGGCAAGCTCTACCACCAAGGGTGGCTTCTGAGACCATCCAGCTCTCCTACCCACAGTACCAGAGCAGAGCTGGTCGCCAGTAGGTCAACTAGCTCGCTGGCTTCCTAGACCTTTTCTCCTCACAAGCACTTAAGGGATTCCCATTCTTTTGGACACATGGGGACCAAGCATATAAAAGTATAACTCCCTTTCTCCACTCTCCAAGGATGGGGGAGGTGTCCTATCCTAGCAGGCACTAGAAGGCAGTCTTTTGTTGACAGGGCTGGCAGACTATGGCCACAAGTCTAATAACTAACATTATATAGTGCTTTCTGTTTGCTAAGCATGGTCCCAATACTCAACATCTTACTAGTAACTCCCATTTTTTCCCATCTTAGAGATGAGGGCAGTGCATTGAGAGAGGTCAAAGTTCTACACACAGAGGTACTAAGTAAAAGGCGAAGGGTGTTGAACACAGGTAACGGGACATTACGGCAGGAAACAAACAAAAACCTACAGGAGGGTCTGACCTAAAAGTAGTTTCCTTGATGAATAGTATCAACTTGGGCTCAGCCTGGAAGCCTTATAATAGTTTCCATTACTAACTGTACAACCACTCCCTAGGTTCTCTGGACTGACAGGAACCCAGACCCTTTCTACACCGGTCTCACCTACTGCACCACCTGCTAAAATCTTCCCTCACGGAGACCCAGTGCTTTCAGAGTAGCTGGGGAGGTTTGGACTAGAAGCAAGAGATCGTCCTAACCCGTAGGAGTAAAAGACAAGACATGACAAGACAAGCATACAATGTCTTTGCATTGATAGTTCCAGTCAATAGGAACAGGAGCAAGTCACCCTGGAAAATGCAGTGAACTTTGCTCCCTATCATGGGAATTGATAGCCAAGAAAATCAAGAGTTTCCTCAAAGGGTGCTATTAGCATGGATAGACAGGGTTCTGCATTTGTGCGACATACCGTGACATTAGTAATGAGTGGCGGGGAAGCGTAGGTCAGCACCGAGGAGGGCCCCACCACTGTGTAACTGGGGCAAACTGGCTGCACATACATGTCAGCTGAGTAAGGGCAGCTGACAGCTTCGTGGGACATATACTCCGTGTAGGGTGTCCATGGAGTCAAGGGCTGGAGGGTGGCCGGGGCAGGTTGGGAGAGCCAGCCAGCACACAATGTCCCCTCCTCTGTCACTGTGGAAGCAGAAACCTCCATATCAAGGCAGGAAGGACCTGTCGGGAAGAAGAAAATTATAGAACTGCAGGCTCCACCGGAGGGGGTCCCCACAGACACCAAGGCTTCAGAGAAGAGCTCTTACCCACTGTGCTGTAGGTTGCCAGGGGCTGGTGGGGCAGCACCACCTGGAAAGGGACAAGAAGACCAGAATAGGTATTGATTTATCTCTAGCAAGCCCTCTGCAGGGACTCCCAGGGGCCCAGAGTAGGAGACTCATAGGGGGAAATCTCCCAACCCATACCCCAACCATCACCACCTGAATTTTTTTGAGGGATTTATGTTTCAATTTAGCAAGAAGGCTATAGAATTAGAGAAACTTCCTGAATCCCCACCTCATATCACCGTGAGTACCATCGGCTCCCTCAAGCCTCATCAACAGGTATCTCCCCCCAAATAGATAAAAGCAAGAAGCACCACTATTCCCCTCACCACCCTGAGGAACCACCAGCTTAGCTTGTCCAGGGTCTACCTTCTCCGTGTAATCTGCTGTGTTCATGTCCCGTGGGTGTTGCATGAATCAGGGAAGAACACTCTCGTCTTATCTCTCTGGCCACTCTGACAAGTCTAACTGCACACACACACACACACACACACACACACACACCTGCGGATGCACTGCCCCCACAATAGCCCCTCACCGCAGTAGGTGGGGCAGCTGCCCCACTGCTGGCATGGCCACGCTTTCTCCTCAGTAGCTCCTTCACTGGCTCCTTGACTCGAACACCCTGGTATGGCCGTGGTGGGGCAGGAGCTTGCTCTGGAGCTGTGGCTGTAAAGAGGAAGATCACTGGAACCCCCAGCCCTTCTCAGATGCTCCCAACCACAAGTGCCCATTTCCTCTAGTGCCCAACTCTCTAAGTTGTACTTAACATGGCAAATCTCTGTGATGCTTCCTGGAATATTTCTTCCAAGACTCCTTCTGCCCTTAAACTTTCTGGGGCTCTATTATATTCAAATACCTAAGCCCTGTCCCCTTTGTCTAAAAGTGACGGGGCTTCCCACAGAACCCCATGTTTCTGACCCTTTTGCATGCTACATGAACTGGTTCCAACAAGAAGGCCTGGTTACACTCCTCAGCATCCCCAGGCAGGTTTCACCTCCCCATCTTCATTGCTGCTTCTGATAACCAGAATTCAGATTCTGGGGCTACTTCTCTGACCTCTGCAGACCATGAAATTCCTGCACCCACCTCTCCAACACCATCTGGAGCTGACTGGCACTCGCATAGGTGGCCGTAAATAGTGACAACCAGACCAAGAACTCTTGAGTCAGGTATAACTGGATTCGGATCCCATTTCAGTCACAATCTAGCAGTGTGGTCCTATGAAGTAACTCAATTTCTCCGAGCCTCTTAACCTGTAGTATCTTATCAGATGAATGTTGGTCAGAGTAACGTGGTGTGGAACATAAAAAATAAGGTGTATGTGTCATATAAAATCAGTTACAGGGGGCTGGAGAGATGGCTCAGCGGTTAAGAGCATTGCCTGTTCTTCCAAAGGTCCTGAGTTCAATTCCCAGCAACCACATGGTGGCTGACAACCATCTGTAATGAGGTCTGGTGCCCTCTTCAGGCCTGCACACAGACAGAATATTGTATGCATAATAAATAAATAAATATTTTAAAAAAATAAAAGAAAAAAATCAGTTACAGAACAGTCATTTAGCAAACAGAATTTCTCTTGTTTTCTTTCTCTTTGGGTTGTTGGTGCTATGGATACAAGCCAGAGACTTGGACATGCTAGGCAAGTGTTCTACCACTGAGCTATACCATCTTCCTCCCAAATTCAATAAATTTACAGCCTGATAGGTAATGATTAGTTATTCTTGTCTGTATGAGTTTAAAATGCTTCCAACATGATTATAAACTTCTCAAGATATTGTGCCTCATCGTTTCTGCCTCCCCAAGTGGCAGACATGCCTAAGCTCTCTATAATCTTAGTTTTGGCTGTTTGCTAACTAATCATCTGAGCGATGTTTCAAATATCCTTCTTTTTATTATCCTCTTACCTCTCAGTTAATTGACTGAGAAAAATTGTGTATCTGCCAGGTCCTTGGTGATTCTCAGAGCATGAGACAATGTTGATTCATGTGTCCTAGGTGTCTACCTTGCTTCTGGGAGAATGCTTCCTTTTCCTTTTGTCAAAATATCCAAGAATCCAAAGCATCAACAAAACCTGAGTCAGGGCATAGGATTTTCCCTTGCCTGGGAGATCAGAGACAACCTATGCCTGCAGATGGAAAGGCCCATGGAAGGCAGGCCAAGATCTAGGTCATCCAAGATCAAGAAGCAATGGTCTCTGGGACTCACACAAGGAGCCCATTATCCTCCAAAGATAAGGGTCCAGGGACCCAGGCTTTGTATCAAAGGCCCGGAAGCCTGGGTATCTGTTCAACCCGGATCCACTGGGCTGCCTTGACTGAACTTTGTTCAGTAAACACCCAGCTGATTCTGATAACAACTCTGCCCAAGACTTCCCACAAGGCTCTTATTCGCTTAGCACCAGCATAGTCTGGTCTTGAAGACCAGAAAGCAAAGAAGTCAAACATAGTCAGCCGGTGGAGTCGAAACAAGAGCTTCAGAGGCAGATAGTGAGAGAGTCCCGCTCCTCAGTCTTGGCATCAGACCTATCTATGGTATGGTTTCCTACCTGATCATGGTGCAGAATCAACTAGAAAATGTGTGTGTGTGTGTGTGTGTGTGTGTGTGTGTGTGTGTGTGTTGCAGAGAAAGTAAGCAATGAAACACCTACCAATGAGATGAGAGGTTTGGGCTGAGGTAAGAGTGCGTACCATGAAGAGCCAGCATAGCATTTGTGCCCCGAGACCACCGCCATCTTTGTTCAAAAGAGCAATGACAACAGACTTAAGAGCCCAAAATAGCTGCATTCAAATATAGGCTGTCACTTATTAGTAGAAAATTCCCAGATTTATGTAATGACTCTAGGCCTCTGCTTCCTTATCTGTAAGACGGAGAGATGTTTTTAACTTCCCAGTGACATGCCTTTAGCCCCAATCTTTCTTCTGACTGCATTTCTGCTGCATGAGTGCTGCTTGCACACCTTGTCTACAGAGTCCAGCTGAGTGTTCCCCACAGACGGAAGTGTGCGTGAGTTCCAGGAGAGAAAGGACTGGCGCCTCTGCTTCATTCTGCTACCTCCTCAGGATCATTCTTCTCCACATCAGCTTTCCTCGCAGACATGACACCCAATCTCTGCGTGCCTCCTCTCAGGTTCCCTTCCATTCCTCAGGCACAGAGCCTAGCCTGAGCTGCTCTGCACCCAGAACAAATACTTAGACCTTTTCCCGCCTGCGACCCAAACCTCATTATTTATTCTAGGAGCACTACACATAACACCTCAGCCCAAATCAGAGACAGGAATGTGTTCCAGGTAACTCTGATTTGCATGTACAGTTCTTGGAAAAAGCTTAGAGGCCTCCAGGTCCCATTCCTTCTCTGGTTCTACTTCATCTTTGAAACTGGACACGTCATGTGCTTGGCTAGAAAGGGACTGGCCGGCCACTCCCAGATCTTGTGAAGTCAGGATTTCCTGGCCCCTGTTGCTTTAAAATCTAGGAAAGCTTTGAGGAGATGCTGCTAAGACAGTGTACTGCCCTCTAATGTCTCATCATCTCTGGGACATGCAGAATTAACAAATGTGTCCTGGCGGACTGTAAAAGTCCTGGTCTAGTACAGCTGGGGTGCTCCCACAGCCCTGGGTCTGCAGCCAGCGGATAAGTGATCTGGTGACTGAGGCCATCTGAGCAGGCAAGAGTGGGGTTGTTTCTGAGGTGTCTCTGCCGAGCTCCCAGCTCCGTGGGACAACAGAAGCCAAAGCATCAAGACACCACCCCCCAGGAAGCTCAATAGACTAGGATACTTGTAAGTTGACAAGCTGTAGTTGGGGCCTTTCACACTAATCTACAGAAAGTAACCATCAGCATAATCCCCCAGCAAACACTGTGATCTCAGCTGTCGCCAGCACCAGAGCTGACCTCACTTTGGAAATTCGGAAGAAGAAAACTTTGTCCAAAGTCACAGCTACCTTGACTTGGGGCTGCTGAGTCCTTGAACTGATCTACCTTTCCAATGACTCTGCTGAAATAGCTCATGACTTTTTCAACAAAATATTAACATAATCTAAAATGGCAATTTTTAAAAATAGTATCTGAAGAAAATAAAGTAGAAATTGAAATAATACCATGTCAGCAGAGACAAGGAAAGCCCAGACTGGCACTAACTAGAGAGTTTACAATTCATCAGTCACACTGCTGCTCTGGGTAGCACACTAGGGAAGCCTGAAATTTTCTCAGCATTCCTCTTGTGGTGTGAAGACCCCTGGAGCTTCTGTGGGCTTGAAAGAATTCATTACAGTGGAAAACCAGTCTAGCCGAACATGAACCTCTGGGAGTCTCTTTGCACAGGAGTTCACCACACTGCCTTTCTTTACCATTGGCCACCGGTTGCCCATGGTATTCCAGGGAGGAAAGAAGAGTTTTAAAAGTCTAGTGGACAGGAAACCCACACATTTGGTCACAGAGAGAGCTTCCTTTTTTTCCGAAACTAGCAGTAAAAGATTCAGAGGTGTGAACAGTCAGCAGGGGGCGTTGCGCTTCCCTGCCACACACACAGAGACCACTGCAAGTCACAAAAAAAAAAGAGTCCTGCGGCTGCCATATGCCTGAAGGTGCATAGCACTGTAGTTTAAAGCCAACAAGTTACATCCCACAGTCCCCGGATGCACAGTGGCATCAATGCTCACGCTCTACCAGGCTGAGAGAACACAGGTTTCTGCTGAGTTGAATAAGCATGGCACTCTGGTTTTCTCAATGAGAGCACAATAAAATCTCACTAAGGAAACATGCAAAATCCTCAGCACCTATTTATTTAATAACCTCATGCAAACCACAGCGCACATGCTACTCAACCAAAGAGCCAGTCGCCAGGTCCTGGTCATCAGTAACTGGTCTTTCAGTATAGCTTTAAAAGAACCCATGTTGGATAGGTGTTTCCTTGTTGGATAGGTGTTTCCTTGTTGGATAGGTGTTTCCTTGTTGGATAGGTGTTTCCTGAGAGAAGATCCTTGTCTCGCCATTGAGATTCTCTCCTTGGATTGCCAGCAGACCGGACAACCATGAAGAGCTCTGCCCTAAAAACTGTGTAACATGTAGGTTAAACACGAATTTACACCACCAGGGAGCCATAGAACAGGCGTCCTCACAGCTCTAGGAACTTTTCTGTCCCATCTTGACAGGCTGTTCAAGCTTCAGTCCCAAATGAGTTGAACCTCAAGGCTACAGCCACATGGGCCACTTTGAAAGATAAAAGCCACCTAGATGAGAAAGTCACAGGACACACACTATCACTTAAGACGCCCGTCTGAATCACTCCCGACAACCACTGTGAATGTTTTCTTTCGCTGCTGGTGTTCGATGTCATCCAAAAGAAAGGAGAACTCATTACTACGGTGAAGGACGACACCCAATGCTCTCTGTGCTTGTAGCACAACCAAAACAAATAATTCAACAACAGGACTTCATGCCCGGGGCTAACGAACTTGCCCTAGCTTCTACCGAAAACAAACTCTGAAAAGTTGCTGACACTTTAACGTGAAGAGCCTTGTTTGTCTTGGTGGCCTGAGACAGCTGAGGTCTTCTGGGAAGCATGAGATTGGGTAGGCCACAGGCTCGCTCACATCCCCTGCTGAATCGCTACTGCAGGTGCTCTTCTTAGCGTGAAGTTCACGACCAAAGCTTTCAAAGTTGCTGTTT